TCGTTGGGTGAATCCCTCGACTAGTTTATAAAAGGGTGTACTCGAGTATTACCACTATCATTTTTTTTTGGTGTGCGGGCCCAGGACAGGGGTATGAATGGAGGTAGGAACTGGTGTGAAGTGGCGTTCTACATGGACCGTAGGTAGTGAAAGTTGACGGAGGGTCAACTACGGAAAATTTTGATCAAGTTCGTGGAGAATGGCTCCTGAGAGCCCCTGTATCCTACCTTGTGCTGTTATACGCTTTCCTAATCGTTTACTTTAGTTGAAATCAATATTTGCTACTTGCCTTATGTAATTGCATGTTTTGGGGCACCACTGAGCTTTAGCTCACCCCACGTTATTTTGTTTTCCTTGACAGGTTCTGGCATATGAGAAAGGCCTGAAATCTACTTTACTTGTTATTAATGTATTTCGGATTAAACAATGTAGTTTTGTTCGGGTTGCCACTTGAAGCTGGAAAAGTGTAAACCCTAGATTGGTTATGTGGCTTGTGTAAATTTGTTACTTAGCTTGTAAGAATGTATTTGGCTTGTATGAATTTGTTAAATGGGATTGTTTGACTTTATTCCGTGGTTTGTAACGCGTAAGGTATTTAAGAATCGACGAGTCGCTATCTTAAAGTGCTGTTATCTCTGAAGTTAATGTGGTCTTAGTTATTGGTCTATTTTGGAGAATCAATACTGTAATAATTTAGGCTATACTTCGGAAGGATTTGGGCTAGATCTCTTGCGTGAGTCCTGGCGAGAGTTAGGCAGACGGCCCGCCAACCCTCTGGTTCGCCTTAGGGGGAAGTGGGGTCGCCACAAGGACCGTGCTTTAGAACGGTTCCAAAAATTTGCACCTCCAAAGTTTATAGGTGGGGCCGACCCTGACTTAGCGGAGGGTTGGCTAGACCATATGTTAGATATATTTGCCGCACTTAGGTACTCGGAGGAGCGGCAGATATCTTTTGCCGTTTTTCAGTTTGAAGGGACCACAACTAAGCCGTCGAGTATAGGGAAAAATCGATCCAAAGGACCAGGTAGAGTCTATGCAATGGGTCAACGAGAGGTGTTAGACCCTTCGGCGGGCATCGAAGGTACGCCCTTCCTTATTGGCGCACCGCAATTGTTTAATAGACCCTGAGGACACGTACTTTTGTAAACCCTGCATTTATGGTTCACGAACAAAGGTATCAATTTCGAGGACGAAATCATTCTAAGTGAGGGAGGTTGTGAGACCCCGGTCAGTTCTTAAGTTTGATATTAGGGTTATATTCATTATTTGTGCGGTAACATTTGGTTTTGGGACTACTTCGAAAACCCTAAGTTGGGGTTAGGATTGAAACCCTAGTTTTTTTTGTATTAATTATAAGTTCGAGTGGTGATTAAGTTAGTTATGCTAGTGTGTGTTTTAGTGCGGGTAAGTATAGGATTTGATCCATTTTATATAGGTTAAGTGAGTTTAAAAGTTAGAAAACCCTAAACTAGAAAAGTTTCTAGTGTTATGATTTGTTAGAATTTTAAGTTGGGTTTAAAACCCTTAATACTACTCATGACAAAAGGTTGTTGTTTAATTGCTTTTACGTGGGATTAAGTATGATTAAGTATAGGTAATTAATATAGGAGGGTGATTAGTGAAGTAATTAAGTGTGGTTAAGTGTTTTAGATTAGAATAAGTTATAACCTATGGAGTTAATTGAAAGATTATCAAATGTTTAAGGGCAAGAGTTGATCAAATGCAAAGTTGAAGGTGTAAGGGCTTGAGAGCAAAAATGAAGCTTTTGTGTGATTGGTGGAAATAGAAATATCTTTCAAGGCTTTGACCATCTTGTATATATCATAGGATTTCCATAAAAAAAAAAACAAAACAAATAAGAAAGAAAAGAGAGAGAGAGGGTCGGCCACCTTGAGGAAAAAAAACTAAGGGAAGTTGGCAAAATTCAACCAAATTTCTGCTATAGATCTTCATCTTGAAGCATAAAGAATCCATCTTGGAGTTGGGTTGAGTTCATTAGCCATCATACAACCTTCATCTTGAGGTAAGAAAGCTTTTATACAAAGTTAAAAGTGGTTGATGATACTTGAAATGGGGGAAATGATGATAATAGTTGTTAGTTGTGATTGATTATGGTTTCACTTGTGTTTATCACTTGTTTTTATGGAGTAATTTGGTTAAATTTGGGCCTTGATGATTCGGCCATAGGAGCCCTAATTAGGGTTTCATGCTAAACAAGTTAATTAGCTCTAATGTTGTGCTATGAAGATTGTAGTGGTTGTGTTTGATGATTGGTTTTATTGGTTTGGTGAGTGAATGGTAAAAACTGATTTGGATGATGAAACCCTAGGTTTCCTTAAGTTAGTTCAGCTTGGTTAATGTTTAGTGAGTTAGGGTTTGGTTAGTAGATGGTTAGAATAAGTTCAATGGAGCAAAAAGTTAGTTTAAGGATCATGGTTAGTTTTTGGGTAATTTGGTAGTGTCTTAGAGGGAAGTTTCGGACCTTTGATAGGTCATTTAGAAGCTGGTACATACGTGTTTCTTTGGTATGAAAGTAGTTAGAAAACTTGCAAGAGAACCATGAAAAGGAACCATGCGTTTGCGTTGCGCGGAACCGTTCAAAACCCCAAACAGGGTAGCCCAGAATCTGAACTTAAGATCCATTTTTCTTGATACTACGTATTGATTCAGAAGTTTCTCAAAACATGAAAGTTGTAGCTTCTTAAGTTCTTGTTGTTCCTGCAAAATTTCAGCCTAATCCGATCAGCAGATCCTGAGTTATGACTAGAACACTTATAGTCATGCAAAACTGTGGTTTTGGTGACGTTTCTGGATTCAGCCTCTGACCGTGTTTTTTCCGTTTTGATAACGTACGAACTGGGTGTTGTGGGTGTTGACCTCTTCATATGAAATGTAGATCTTGGTCTCAGCTTCGAAACGGTTAAAGTTTATCCAAATCCGAGTCCCGTAGCTTCAGTTATGACCAAAACAAGATCGATTGTCAGAACTGCCTGCGCATTGGACAGTTCTGACAAGAATGTTTGGACCCGTTTTCCTCCATGCTCTGTATTGATTCAGCTTTTGGTCTAAACATGAAAGTTATAGCCTTATGTCTTAGCTTTCTAACACCTCTGGAATTTCTTGATTCCAATTTCTGAGCCGTGAGTTACGGTCCTTCAAACAGGGCCTGTTTGGTAACCCGAAATGAAATAGCTGGAACTATTTTGTGCATTTTTTACCAATACCTATTGAGATCTGGGTTGAGATATCTAAATAAAAGTTGTATCCCTTCCTCATAACTTCGAAACGGAGTCTCACCCACCTTGATCCGATATTCCTAGCCTAACTTTTGATCAAAACGGCTTGAGATGGCGGATTTGGCCGTTCCGCGCGCGCGCGTGTGTCCAACTTGCCGTTTCCGTACTTGCACGTGCCGATTTTGCCGTTTTGCTTGTTTTGGGCATGTTACTAGCCGTTTGTGATATAACGTGATGCAATCTTTTATTTCAGACCGTGGTGAGCTAGGCGGAGCCGGTGGGGCCTACTACTAGCTAAAACGCACGAAGTGATTTCCACTCTTGTACTATTTTTGTGTTTTGGGTAAGTATTCGGGCCATTTTGTATATAACTTGCTTATGTGTTTAAGGTGAATGAAAGGGTACCTAGGCGAGGGTGTACTTCATCGCACTCGGCCTAAACCCCAATTTACGTGCATATTTATACAGGACATGTCTAAATGAATTATTTTGGGTTTGAACCCCTTGAGCTTGGAGCTCGGGGTGACTTTCGTGAGTTCGTGAAATATGTTGAAGTTGTGGGCCCGATCTCAAGACCTAGATGGACTATTCGAGCCGGCCGGGGCTTGGTCGAAGCCAGTCCAACCTAGTCTGAGGTCACCAAGTTCGTAGGTTCAAGTTATGAATCAAGTTTGTGACCCGAGCTTGTGATTCAAGCTCAAGTTTGTGATTTCGTTCGCTCGAGCAAGTTTGTGAGGTGACTGGCCAGTGAGGGTGATAAGGTGTTAGGTGGGTGTACAAGTGGAGTTCTACGGACCTTATTCGTGGTCGACGGAGTGTCGACAGGAGGTCACGCATGGCAAACGACTTGGCTTTGAAGCCAACCTGTATCCTCCCTTTGTATTGTTACTTTTGCACTTGACTTGGCATTTTGTGAAATAGTTGTTTATTTTAATATGAAATTTACGTGTTTACCCCCGTGTACTTACTAAGCATATAGCTTACCCCGTTTCCTTTGTTTTCCTTAGCAGGGGGCGACGCGGGGAAACTTTTGGACACTGCCACTAGTATAGTTAGGGTTAGTTGTAATAGTTGGTCGGTTAAGATGTTCCTTTTTGTTTTGGTGGTTTGTATAAGGACCTACCTTAGGGTCCACCTTCTGCTGATTGTTATTATAATGTAATATGGTGGTCTGAATAGATACTTTTGAAGATGTAAATAGAACTCTTTTGGTTTAATATAGTTTTATTAGCTTTGTGTTTCGAGTCCTGGCGCGAGCTAGGCAGGCGTCCCGCCGATACCCTAGGGTTCGCCCTTGAGAGAAGCGGGGGCGTCACATTACACATGAGTTTTCTATTGCTAGAGTACCTCAGTAAAATAGAGTGGTTGAGAGGAAAAATAGAACTCTTCAAGAAGCTGCTAAAACCATGCTTAGTGAATGCAATTTATCAAAGTACTTTTTGGCTGAATCTATAAACACTACATGCTATACCATGAACAGAGTTCTCTTAAGACCAATCTTGAACAAGACTTCATATGAGCTGTTGTTTGATAAAAAACTTGTAGTTGGTTATTTTATAGTTTTTGGTTGCAAATACTTCATTCTGAACATCAAGGAGCATCTTGGCAAGTTTGATAAAAAATCTGATGAGGGGATTTTCTTGGGATATTGTGAAAATAAGAGAGGCTTTAGAGTTTATAATCGTAGAACTTTGGTTATAGAAGAAGCTATACATATCACTTTTGATGAATCTAATGGTGACACTTCTATGAGTTGTGGTGAAGATGATGATGCAGGTGTTCGAGAAGAATTAAAAAAGCTAACAATCAGCAATCAAGGCACAGCTCCATCAGAAAATGATTCAAAGGAAGATCAAAATCAAGACAGTCCTGCTAGAGAAGACAATAACAGTGACAATGCGATTCCTAATGATCTTCCAAGAGCCTGGAAATTTGTCCAAAATCATCCTAAGGAACTTATCATTGGGGATCCATCTGAAAAGGTCAGAACATGTTCCTCCTCTAGACAATTAATAGATAACTTTGCATTGGTCTCACATTTTGAGCCCAAAAATGTTGTTGATGCATTGAATGATGAGAGCTGGATTTTGGCCATGGAAGAGGAGTTAAATCAATTTGAAAGAAATAAGGTTTGGACATTAGTTGCTATACCACAAGATCATCCTATTATTGGCACTAAATGGGTTTTTAGAAACAAAATGAATGACAAAGGTGAGATAGTTAGAAACAAGGCCACATTGGTAGCTAAGGGTTACACTCAAGAAGAAGGAATAGATTTTGATGAATCATTTGCACCCGTAGCTAGGCTAGAATCTATTAGAATGTTTTTAGCCTTTGCATGTTTGAAAAATTTTAAATTATTTCAAATGGATGTTAAAAGTGTTTTCCTAAATGGTTTTATAGATCAAGAAGTTTATGTTGATCAGCCTCCTGGTTTTGAAAATGAGAATTATCCAAACCATGTTTTTAAACTCTCAAAAGCTTTATATGGATTAAAACAAACTCCAAGAGCATGGTATGAACGCTTGAGTGATTTTTTGATTGAAAATGGGTTCAAAAGAGGCATAGTAGATACTACTCTTTTCACTAAACAAAGTTCACGTGATCTTCTAATTGTTCAAATATATGTGGATGATATTATTTTTGGTGCTACTAATGAGAAATTGTGCAAGGAATTTTCCAAAATTATGCAAAAAGAGTTTGAAATGAGCATAATGGGAGAATTAAATTTCTTCCTTGGACTCCAAGTGGTTCAAACCAGAGAAGGAACGTTTATCAATCAAACAAAATACACCAAAGAGCTGCTCAAAAGATTTGGAATGGAGGACTCAAAGCAGGTTAGAACACCTATGTGCACATCTACCAAGCTCGACAAAGATGAAGAAGGTACAAAGTTGATGAAAAGAAGTATAGAGTTCTGATTGATTTTGGTTCTGATATGGATATTGCTGTTATGATGACAAAAAGGGGGAGAAACATGGATGGAATCAGGATATGAATCTGATCTATATGTGTGGGGGAGTCGAGAATCTGATCTATATGTGAGGGGGAGTCAAGTAAATTTTTCTATGGGGTATGGAAAATTTTCTGACGGGGAGTCACTGAAGGGATATGGATATCATTCTGAGGGGGAGTTGTAAATACTCCAAGGCCTCTCTAAGAAAAGGGAAACTATACCAAAATTCCCTCACTTCATCCATTGTTTTGTCATCATCAAAAAGGGGGAGATTGTTTATCTTTGTTCGTACCTTTTGATGATTACAAACCAATTGGATAAAACTAATGTTTTCCAAGTTTTTTTTGGTCAGAAAATGGAGCAAAACAGGTTCAAAGGCCAAGCATCTGCTAAAACATCTGTCGGACGCACAAATACATCCTATCGGCCGTCCGATAACTGTTGAGTATCTTCGGACGCGCAAAGAACCTATCCTCGGACGTCCGAAGCTGATAAGTCAGCACTTCTAAGATCTCTAACCTCGATCGAACGCACAATACCTGAGCACCGGGCGTCCGACAATCGTTGCAACACTTCGGACGACAAGCATTAGAAGCACCGGACGTCTGAAAGAATTAATGAAGGATTCCAAGTTTTACATCATATGGTCGGACGCATATTCTGATGCTGCCGGACGTCCTAAAGATTTCAAGAAAATTTCTTGAACTCACTACCTGCGTTCGGATGCGTAAAACCAGCCTATCGGATGTCCGACACTACTAACGGCTAGTTGACTCTTCAGCTGCCTTGTGTCCATTAGTGGCATTAATTGAAGATGTTTTTGGTCTATTATAAATAGGATAAAAGTCAACCACCAAAAGCAAGGATACACATTAAGTCTACATCAGATCTTGAGTGATTCAAGCATAAGAATACTCCAAAAAGAAGATTTGTACTCTTAGTTATGTGATCTTCATTTAACTTTTCAAGTGTGATTCAATTTCTTCAATAGTGTAGCTTTGTGAGGGTTATTCGAGTGATTGTAAAACTTCCTTGCTTGATCAAGTGTATCTTGAGGCAAGGAGGAAGTGATCCTTCCCGTGTACACAAGAGATTGGTTGTATGTTGAATCAACTTGAAGGAGCTTACAATATAAAGGGATATTCAAACTCTAGTCGAGTTTGAGATTTGGTTTGCTATTCCATCTTCTTATTCACTGTTTTGCAACATTAACTGTTTATCTCTTCTGCTCTAAATTACTTCCGCTTTATCATAAATTGTTCCTTGGTCTGGTACTTTAGAAAAAGAGGGCTAGTTCAGAAAAAAAGTGATTTATATTTTGGCTAGCTTTTAAACCACCTAATTCACCCCCCTCTTAGGTTGTCTTTGATCCTTACAGAACGAGTGCGATAAAGTACACGCTCATCTCGACAATTCCCAATCACTTAATGAACAAGAAACAATTCAAGTATTTAGCAACAATTCATGCACTTGACACTCACCAATTCAAAAGTAAGTGAGCAAATAAGGTCTTTAGTTGTCCGCTCCGAGATTCTCTTTGAAACCCTCTTGAGCACCTGTAGAAATAGTGACCAACCATCACTCACGTATACTCTAGACCTCTTAACATTCAAGGAAGAAAATGCACTTGCTTAAAATTTAAGACAACGCCATAAGAGAGTTTTTCTCATTAAAAATCGAGATTTAAAATAAGGATTTAAAGTCACAAGGGAACTCGTATCATTCATGAAATCGAGTTTAAAATGAACCATCAATCTCAAAACGAAGTGGGGAGTTCATAAAAGTTCATTTCCTAAGAAATCAGAAATTTCCGGCTTTACGTGACAAAACTTGGAAAATCAGATCTTGTGTTTGGTAAGTCCAAAAATTGGAAAATTCACACCATTGAAAACTAGATTCAAAATACTAAAACTTTCCAGAAGACACTTTTCCCAAATTCCAACTTGAAATCATTCAAATCTCAGCTCAAAATTACTGTTTCATGAAATCAGGTCAGAACCAGTTCTTGTTTTTTAGCAATGTTTGGAAATTCGGAAAAATTCACAGGAATTGAATTAGCCTCTGAAATTTACAACACAGCAAGAGTTCTAGGTAAAGTTGTAAACACAACAAGCAGAACTAAATTTGGATTTTTGAACAGCAAGACACAACAGTTTGAAGATGGCTGGATTTCACAACCTGTTCAACAATTTTCCAGTTACCAGCCTTGACACAGTTTTGAAATCAGACCATATCTAACTCTATACAAGTCCAATTTAAGAATGGTCTATGGAGTTAGAAACTAGATTCAAAATGCTTCAAATCATCAGAAGACATCATTCTCAAACTCCTTTCACAAGTGAGATGAAATTGAGACACAAGATACAGTTTCCAGTTTCTCTCGGGTAAACAGATAAAACAAGTCAGTCCACTTTGCCGATTCATTACGGCTCACTCAAAACGAACTAGCAGGGGAATTGTATACCCGTTTGAAAGACCTTGGTGTCTAGTTTCAAATGCCACAAACGGCACTCGATTTTGACTTTTGTACAAAGATTTATGCTCAGACAAAGTACTCCTGGTCGGCTGCCCTGACAGCAAATTTCCAGATTTCTACCTTTCACAAAACCCAAGTTTTATGCAACCAATTGAAATGATTTTTGAAAGATAATTTCTACACACATCATACCACATATAAAAAGCATTTTAGCAGCCATATAATCAACAAAAACTGAAAATTCAAGTAAGACAATAGAGCAGCAAATTTCGGCCAACTCTCTCAAGGGTTTCTTCCAACTTCCTCTCCTCTTCCCAAGCCAAAATCATGTCACTCACTACACAAACAACAACAATCAAGTAAAAAGCCTCAAGTCCGCTAACTATAGGCCACCTCAAGACCACTAGCTTAGAATATAAAGTAAGAAATAAAAGTTCCTCAAGTCTTCTAGCCTAGATTCTTGATTAGGGTTTCAAACCCATGAAATTCAACCTCTACTCTTGGTAAAATTTGAAAGATTAAAGAAGGATGAAGTGGTTACCTTTCAAGCTCCTAAACCCTAGTTTTAAGCAAGACTTTCCACCAATACTTCACCAAGAAACACCACAAGCTTGCACCTTTCTTCTAGCTAGAGCAAAATTCCAAGAGATTTGTGGGTTGGATGATAAAGAACAAGCAAGATTGAAGCTAAAAGGTGAAGCTTTCTTCTCCTCCTTTGTCCTACTTGGTTCAGCCGAGAGTGAGAGAGAGTGAGGGAGTGAAATGTGGTAATTTTTTGTGGTGGAAAAGTGAAGGCAAACTAACCATAAGTTTGTATAAAAAGTCAACTCTCAGTAGTAGCGAAATAGTGCCTTGCACTACCACTTTCTCTCTTGATTGCTACACTTAAACACTAATCCTCCAAGGTAATTCCTCTAATACTGTAATTATTCATACTTACTAGTCTAATACTAAATCATCAAACCTCCAACTAGTCACGCCGGTGCGACTTTCAAGAAACTTTCGACACGCACGCGATAAAAGCTAATTTAAGAAAATTCATGCAAAAATAGTATAATTAAATAACACTAGGGCAAATAATTATAAAATAGACTAAATTAAGAATAAAAACATGAGTCCTCACAGTTGAAGCTTTTCCTTCCTCCTTTTGAGCTCCAAATTTCGGCCAAGATAGAGAGAGAGAGTGAGGGAGTTGAAGTTTTTGATTTGTGGTGAAAAGGTAAGAAGAAAGGTAGCTTTTTGTTAGGTGAGAAAGTCAACTTTGATTAGTGGGGTCATATTGACATATACTACCAATTCCTTATTGTTTGCTACACTTAAATACTAATCCTCCAAGGTAGTTCCTCTAGCACTACAATTACCCATTTTTACTAGTCTAAAATTAATTCTCCAAATCTCCGATTAGCCGTACCGGCGCGACTTTTTTTGAAAAATTTTGACGCGTAAGCAATAAAAGCACCATTTAAGAAAAATTCATGCATAACTAATAAAATTAAATAACACAACTAACACTCACAAACACAAGTCCCAGTTCATTTCACCAGTTCACCGCTTAAACACGCTATTTCACCCTTTTTGCAAAAATAAAGCATACGCATCATGCGAAATACTTTTAAAGAAATTTTCATGCTTAAGTTGATAAAAGTAAATGGTATGCTATTGTAGATGATTTAAAGTGATAAAAATGGATAATTTAAATAAATGATTAAATATTCAAATAAATAGATAATTAAATAAAATGTTTAAAAATTGCAAGTCCATACATCCTTTCCTCCTTAAGAGAATTTCGTTCTCGAAATTCATATCTTGGCTTACAAATAACTCTAGGTACGTCTTTCGGGTTTCCTCTTCATTTATCTCAACAATAAAGGCTCTTCAGATCCTAGTACATCTTATTACCTCCAGGGTGCACCGTATATTTAGAAGGGTGAGTTTCTTCTGACCCAAAATTCACACCTGTTGAACTTAGCAAAAGTTAATGCTCTCCCAAGGTTTGCAAAACTATCCTCAAGTGTCATTCTTGATTCTCTCGAGATTTAGACTACACCAATATATCATCTATGAACACCGCCACAATCTAATCCAAATAGAGCTTAAAACTCAGTGCATCAATTTTATGAAAACCGCCGGTGCATTAGTCAACCCAAAAGACATGACTACAAACTCAAAATTGGCCACGTCTTGAAGCAAAAGCAATCTTAGGTATAACTCCTCCTAAGATCTTTAACTAATAATAGTCTTACCTCAGATCCAACTTAGAAAACACATTGGCTCCTTATAATTGGTCAAACGATTCATCTATGTGAGGCAAAAGGGTATTTATTCTTAATGGTCACCTCATTCACGTCTCGAAAGTCCATGCATAACTTTAAACTTCCATCTTTTCTTAACAAAGAGTACAGGCGCCCTCCACAGGATTCACTCTCTCTAATGAATCCTTTTTCAAGTAAGCGTACGTTGCTCTCTTAATGGATCTTTCACCACTGGTACGTTTTCCAACTTCATCTTATCCCCGGGTGTATTTATAAGAAAAGCTGAATATTTTCATGCTTCCGTATGTATAGATTTTCTAGCTCGGATTCCTGATACAAGAACAGACGATGCCAGCTTACTTCTCACAGCTAGCTAGCCAATCCATCCCTAATATCACATCATACCCCTTATTCGTTAGGTCCACTAAATTTGCCAAAATTCACACTTTCTATAAT